TGACTCTACCTCTAAAATAGTCAATCGTGGCACAAAAGGAAGCTAACCAATCCATCCCGAGAATGACATCAAAGCTAGTCATTTCCAGGAGGATAAAGTCAAACGCAAAGGTTCGCCCGGCTATCATAATGGAACAATCCCGCACAACTCGGCTTAAAGACACTGAAACCCCAACTGGCATATCTACACATAACGCCCAATCCATGAAACTGACCTCTAACCCCAATGCAAGTGCAAATGATGATGATATAAAGGAATGAGATGCACCAGAGTCAAACAAAACACAGGCCCAAGAACCGAACACTGGAAATATACCTCGGAGAACTGATAGACAAGAAGATGCATCGGCCTGTGCAAGTGCAAAAACACGTCCCTGTGGTGCCTGTGCCTATGAACTGCCAACCTGAACACCTGACTGCTGCACTAATATAATAGGAATATCCCTCCTAACTGGCCATGAACCCTGAGAAAACATGGCAGGTTGTGGTGGTAGCGGTGGTCTAAAACCTAATTGAACTGTAGCCAACAATGGTGGCCTCTGTCGTGACCCTCTGCCACTAGTGGTGCCTACTCCCTAACTCGGACAGTCTCGAATCAAATGACCCTGCTGGCCACACCCATAATAACTCTCAATGGCGCAGAAACTGTGGTCGAGTTCAAGGACATCTGGACTTGTAATGTCCAGGCTGCTGACATTGATAACAAACAACTGCACTCTTATCTGACCCAGCTGGCATAGGAGTGGTAGGAGCAGATCGTACAGACAGCTGTCCCTGAAACTGAGATGAACCACCCCTGTTGCTCTTCTTGAAGGTCCCTCTGAAAATGACCCTGCATTCCTCTTTTTTTTCCACTGTTCCCTTCTTGCATCTTTATCTTTGGCCTCCGCCTCTAGCATCAATGCTCTTTCCACTGCCTCAGAATAAACCTTGATACCCTGTGCTATTAACAACGGCTTCATCTTGTAGTCAAGTCCGGAGATAAAATTTCGAACCTTATCAACTTTATTACTCACCATTTCTGGAGCAAAACGAGAGAGTGAAGTAAACTTGTTCTCGTACTCCGTCACTGACATATTGCCTTGGATAAGGCCAATAAACTAATCATTTAACTCCCACCTCTTGGAGGCAGGGAAATACTTCTCATAGAATAGCTCCTTGAACCTATCACAACTCATCTCTTCAATCTTATACTGATTTGTGATAGATTTCCACCAAAACTTGGCATCCTTTGAAAACTTGTAAGTGGCTAGGATGATTTTCAAGTGATCATCCGTCACATCCATAGAAGTCAATTGAGTTTCAACTTAGTCATCCGCTTCCATTGGATCCGCACCATATTCGAACATCACTGGCATTAACTGAGAAAACCCTTTAATAATCTTGAGACATTTCTGTGCTGGCGTCTCCTTTACCTGAACTACCGGTTGTGGTACCGGCAGCGGTATCGGCTGGGATGTGTAGCAATTGTAGCCCTCAAGGCTCTCTGCAACAAGCGATTCAATACTAGTTCCGCCGAACTTTCACCCTCTTCAACGGGTGCCTCCACATTATCCTTCCTTGTAGGAACAACTCTTGGGGCAACAAATCCCTAAGAAGTGTGTCCTCATCAACTGGCTCCGCCGAATTAGAGCTAAAGTTCTCGCCAACATCACCCCTTGTTGGCCTAAGGCCAACTTCCCTGGGTTCCTCACACCGTGACATCGTTCTATAAAATAAGGAAAATAGTTCAATAACGATAACACTAAGGTCCAACCATGAACAACTCAACACAAACGTATATTATATTAACATTTAGCATGCAAAACTATGCAATGAACACATTAATATAAGCATATAAGCATGTAAGCACGTAAACTAGTAAACAGTTAAGCATGCTTTTTTTTTTTTTTTTTTTTTTTTTCATATAGCAAAACACTTTAACAATTAATCACATAAACTATGCAAACGACTTCCCATGCAACCCTATGTAGGCCTCTACCTGTCGTCCTAATGGTTTTCGAACCTTCGCTCTGATACTAAATTTGTAATGACCACAAAACTGAAACCATTAAAAAAAAAAAAAAAAAAAATGGCATGACCTCCGCTAAAAATGGTCTTACAACAACCTGTTCAAATGCATAAAAATGCAAATAATACATTCCAACATCCCTTTCATCCATTCATCAGGTCTCAACATAGTTCATCTCACGGTGGAGCATCCACATACCATTTAATCCAAATATCGTGATTACAGTCCCAACAATACATGGTTAAGATCTAAAGTCCATGTCTTACAACGTTTAAACCGCTTATAATAAAATTACAACCCATAAATATAATTACAATAATAAGAGTTCACAAATCTTTATACCAAATATAACAAACTAAAATTTTACAAAAAAAATAGGACTTAAATACAAAAATAGCAAAACAATCTTCTAATCCAATTTAGGCTTGTGGTGGAACGTCATCCGCCACTTCTTTCCCGTTCCCTGAAAAAATGTTAATTAAAAAGGGGTGAGCAAAATTGCTCAATAGGTGGTGCCTAAGACACACCTCTTGTATCCCCATGAATTCAAATAAAGAATAGGACAATAGGAGTCGGGGTCATACTATGTTGGGAAAGTACAACATTAAATCCAATCTCAGCATACACAATATGATACTATGAAATGCAATACATGCCGATGTCGCTCCCCATTTTCAACATTCAAATCCATCACTTTCAAACTGTTAATATAACCAGCCCTTTGGTGACCCCGCAACGACACAAGAGAATGATTAGCTAGTGTCCCTGACCCTTGGTACCCCCGCGGCGTCATTTTGGGCCCAGCTAGCTCAACCACGCTAGGGCAATCTCCCTAGTTCCCTCTAGGTTATATTAACATACCGGGTCTTTGGTGACCCCGCAGCGACCAGGTTTTCTCAAAACCATTTTAATCAAAACTTCTTCCCAAAATTTCCCTTTTTCATTTCAAATCACATTAATCCCATTTCATGCACAATACTAGTGCATAGATGCATCATGCCATGTCCAAGTTCATCATTCTATAACTAACTCAAACTTAATTAATATAGCATGATTCACAAGAATTTTCAAGTAAAACTACAATATGCTTTCATACAATCGAGATCTAGCATGATAGGCATATAAAAATCAATATTTAAACATGCTCTTCACATGGGTCAATTAATACCCATAACTATACATCAACGTATATACAACAACCAAGTAATTTGTTAGATTTTACACAAATTAGTCATGCTAGACAATAATTCATAAAGGATTATGAACTTTATACATTACAACACAATTATTCTAGGATAATTATCATCAATTGGACAAATTAACAACAATTACATGAAATCAACTCACAAAGGAACAAGAAAATGTAGGTTAGAGACCCCTACCTCAATCTAAACCAAAAGCCCTAATTTTCACCTCAAACTCTCAAAATGGGTCCAATTTTCAGACTCCCTAGAGTGGCCAAAAGCTAAAATTGTTGGTATGGATTTGAAGATTTCGTCGTGGGCTTCAATTTGCCGCAAACGGCATCCAAAATTTCCAAGAGATGAGTAAGAAATTAAGAGTTGAAATAGTAGAAAAATAATAAAAGAAGAAAAGCAAGGAAAGACAGAAAGAGTTCAGTCCCGAAGCTGAAGAGAAAATGGCCACAAAATGATACTTGGTGATACAAAATGTGTTTAGTGCTTTATGGGGCCCACTCAAAAAAAAAAACAAATATCCCTTTTATACTTTTGCATAAATTAATAAACATTACAGTTTATACAACAACTTCATATTGTTTATACAACAACCACATTAATCGTTATTATGAGATTGTTGCACTACGATATAATGATATAGTGTGTAACACTAGTGATACATCCAGGTCATGTGTTCCATTCGAATTCGTTAGATATAACCCCAAAAAAAGATAAAAAGTGAAGAAGAAATCTTGGCCCAGCCCAAACAGAACACCACTATGACCCATCCAACTATCTGGCCCCCAAAGGATTAAGTACAAAAATGTGGACTGTGGTAGCCATGGTTCCAAGCTCCAAAGACAAAGAAAAATGTTAATCACCATCAACTCTAAAACTTCTCTGTAGAAAGATTAAGATGATATATATGAGAGTCAAAAAGTCGCGAATTAAAACTTCAGTGTCACCCTCACGATTTAGATTAAAAATATATACACACATATACGCAGACATGTTAAAGGATATAAATATTAAAGTTGCACCTTCACTAAAAGTTTATACTTTCCATAGCATGTAATTGTTAACAAAATTATGTAAAGGAGCATTTACTGAAATGTTTAAGCTATTTAATTGTTAATTAAGATAATAAGGCAAAAAAAGAACTCCTTTGTTCATTTGAACAAGATCCCAAAACAGAGGAGTGGTCTTCTCCAATGATGTCCCTTTCACAAGATGCACATATGACTTTTGAATAAGCATATAAAGCAGAAATAGTATCTTATGCAGAAACTAATTGTAATACCATTTGATTACAACTTTACAATAGTAGTATTAAAAGGCCTAATCTGCAAAATCACCATTCTACCGCGAAGCAGATGGCATACATGCTGCCATTGCCACGGCACAGATTGCTGCCGCGTCACTACTGCAGTTGCTTCTTTTGCGACCAGCAACCATTAGTAATTTTGAGAGAGGAGGCTGGTTGTTTCAGCTTTCAATATATATCTTAAGCTAGAGTAAAGCATGTTAATTTATGTCCCAATCAGAAGATACATGCATTGAGGGGAAATTTAAATCACCACACACATTTCTGAAGAAAAATTTCCAATTACCTTAAACACATCAAACTAGAAAAGAAGACAAATGGGAAGAAGAAAATCTCATTAAAAAAAAAAAAAAAAAAAACCTTAAAAAATCCACAACTATGGAACTGATTCTATAGTTCCAACTTCCAACTATAACTACAATTTAAACCCCCTACCCAAACACACACACACACACAGACACACACACGAGAAAGAAAAAAGGAAAAAAGGAAAACATCAATGGGCATACTAGTTACATACAGTGAACAAAGCAAAATTTTTTGTACAAGGCTAGCCTGACTATTCTCAACAATCTTCAGAACGTATAACTTCTTCCAAAAGTTCGTCAAAAATCAACTCCTCCAGCTCGAGTGCCACACATTCAGTTTCTAATTGGAGGTTCATCCAATCATCACCCTTTGCCAAATCTTGAGCCACATAAAAATCCAGTGGCTGCTCTAAATCTGGCCTCGAGCTCAGGGTCCTGTTAATGCTTGCCCAAACCTCCTCAAAAACATGGTTTCTCTGAGGCATTGGACGGATGTGACAACTGAAGGACAAGGCTCTTGGGTAGTAACAGAATGATTTATCAAATATCTGAAGTAAAACCTCGTTAACTAAATCAAACAGAAGCTGGCGATGACAAGAAGCAATGATGTCCTCCTCGGAGCACTCTGGTTCATGAGGGAGGCAAGCCTCCACTTCCTCAAAAACTGAAGGGTCCAATGGCTGCTGGTCTGGCATGTGCCATGTTCCGAGGAAGGCATCTCCTGTGAAGCCTGATTGCTCAAGAATCTCTCTCACATAATTGAAATCAGTATCATCCTCTGTATATAATTGAATATGTCTGCGACTTTTAGCACTTCTGCTTATATTTTCAAAACTCTTGGGGTTTGTTGTCCTGCAAGACCGTGATAGTGAATCTGTGCCGGACCTGTCTTGTGAGTTGACTGAAGACTCATCCTCATTGAAATAATCACACCAACTCTCCAAACCTAATAAGATGTAACAGAAACAATTTATTGTTACTTCCAAGCATACTGAAAACTGCAAAGAAGTTTTAAGAATCTGTCTTAAAAATCAGAGCGGTTTGGGTAAATTAGTACGGGAGTGTTAAAAAGACGCCATAGCGGACAATTTAATACAACAAGAAGGATACACATTTCTATGGTAACATGTTCACAAAGATGAATTTTTTTGAGAAATATCTTAAAAACCAAATTACTCATGCTCCTTGTTCAAGTTTCAACTAATAAGGAAATTTTTTAACAAAGGACACCATTAAAAATTCATTATGGCTTGGAACTAGGGAAAAATTAGTTTGCCAGCACCTGTTGGCTTATAATTAGCAAATATTTAAGCACGACATGAAGTATAAATACAGTGCATTGGATAAGAAGTGCATTTAGCTGATTACCTTCAGAGATTGAAAACTCTGCAGAGACGGTTTCTTCTTGTTGGAAACAGCTTTCAAGAACTGAAAAAGGAGTTTGTTGTTGAAGCTTATTGCTGGCATTCTCTGCAAAATTTATTTCCGGTTCATTTTGAGTATTGCTTTCCCCAATTGTTGGTCCATCCATTTTCTCACTAAGCCCATCCATCCTAGCAGTCCCTTCATCATCTATCCCCACTGTTATACTGGCTAAACGTTCCATTCTTGGACTACTATCACTTCTTTTTACTGTATTATTTAGACAGTCAGTCTCTTCATTAGCATATAGTGGTACATGTTTCTCTTTACTTATAGGAAGGCCTTCTGGCTTTAGTTCATTATGACTACCACTTCTTTCCACAACAGTCCTGATTGGCATCCCTGAAAAATGGGCATCACAAGATACCTCATTCTGGAGGAAACGATAAGAATCAAGATGAGGTAGAGAGTGAATCCTTCTGAAGGATATTGAAGCATGCCCATCTGATGGAATTGCATTCTCATTCGTCAACTTTAAGCTCTTAGAGAGATTCCACTTGGCCTCTCTGCTGAAGCCATACTCAAACAACTGATTATACCTATTCAGTGACTCATTTAGGGAGGATGTTCTTTTGTGTTTACTCTTGCTGAGATCACAAACAGAACCATCAGTTTCACAGCTGCTGGAACTGTCTTTACCAACTCCTATTGTACTCTCTTTCCACCTTTCAGTTATCTCTTTCCCACCCAAGGATGCATCCAAGGAGGTGAAGCTACTCTCATTTCCACTCTTCTTGACTTCATGTTCTATTCTCTGCTTAATATGTTTCAAAACATCCATGACAATCTCATTACTTCCTTGGTCATCCAATTCACGTGTCGAACCCAAAGAAGAGATGCTTGTTTCTTGATTTAGCGCACTGCCTCGACCACTATCATCGGCTATCACTGGCCCAGACTTTGAATAGAGGTCCTTCAAAAACTTGGATGCAACCAAATTAGGTTCTTGAGTACCAGCAACCAATTTCTCTCCTTTTGGAAAGGCCCAAACTTCATTCTGTTTGGAGTTTCCAATGTGTGAAAAATTAGCTGCAGGAAATGACCCTGATTTGGTTAATCTTGCTTGCATATTGGAAGCCTGCAGGCTGTGGAGGCAGTTTGCAGTACCATCATCTGTATTCTGTAGAATTTTGAGGAATAATTCCTTCTTTACGTTAAATATTTCCAGAACATCCAAGTAGTCCTTAAACTCATTGTTTGAAGCATTTCCACTGAGCTGGTTAGCTTCCATGAGCTTCTGGTTTTCCAATATTTCCCTTGCTTCCCCAGAATTATGCTCCAAGCAGTCCACTACATTCTTGGTAATAGAGACATCAAATTTTTCATTGCAGCTAACTGGCAGGACATTGGCCTTCGTCTGTGCTGGATCCTGCAATCTGGTGGCACTTGTGTAACCATTCTTATGACGGGAAATAATTGGATGCTTACAGCCAGAGTATTTTCCAGGGCCGTGATCTAAAGATTCTAAATGATGGATTGAATATGTTCGTTGCAGCCGAGCTCCTGTAGGAAAGTGTGAAGACTGTTGCTTGCAGTCTTCTTCTCGAGACATCTCTTCACTAATAAATGCTTTTATGCGAGCTTTGAGAGAGCTTTTATTGGTTGAGCTAGTTTTTGTACTACTCTCATTGACCTGGCATATTTCACAGTAAAATACTGTTATTTCATTTTCTGTTGCATCTTAGAAGCAGTTGTGACTTCAAGATTATTTTAGATTGCAAATGTCAAATGGACTTACAAGGAAGTGACTTGCTTCAACATCCAAAAGTTTTTGCACTTCACCAGCATCATTGGCAAAAAATCTTGTTCTTGGACTTCCATTGGCTATAAACAAAGAGAAGCAAAAAATCTAATAAATATTGAAAAACAGGAAAGTGAATATACACATTTTATATAAGGATAAAAAATGATGTACACCCTTTTCAACCTTGAGTTTATTGAGGATAGGAAGTGGAAAAAAACATTGCACTTCTCAAAAATAAAGTACAAATGAAATGGTTTATAACATCCTGTAAGATCAGTAAAGCATTGGAGAAATCCTACTTTATATGTGGAACTATTAGGAAGGTAAATAGTTGCAGACAGTTGATCTTTTGATAATTTAACGTAATTGAAAAAATAAAAATAAAAATATCAGAATATAAAACAAGAAAAAAGGTGCCTCAATAGGGTCTATGCGAGCACGAATTCATATTAACAAACTAAAAAGGAAAAAAAAATCTCCAAACACGAATGGCAAAGAACAGATAAAAGTCCAAATATGTTATCAGCAACATAACTCACACCAATCTTTTCTGGAATTAAACATGCACCATATAGCAAACTGGGCACTTCTCTATTCAGTAGGATTTTCAGGGATAGTGAAAAATTATTTACATGATAACTGTAAGTCTCTATCCAACTCCAGCTATAATTTTTTCCTGTCTGCCATCCGATGTGCTGGAACAGTTGCCGATAATGCTTTGTCTTATTTTGAATATATTATGTACTTTAATTTATGATTACCTCTTTTTTGACATCATTGTCCAAATATATGAGCAATAAAACAGTTCAAAGTTCAAACCAAAACCTGACTCTTTTAGGGTCAAATAATGGAATTTTAGAAGCATTGAAATGCTACAAGATGAAATATAATGTTTGAGAAGAAGTTTGACTGAAACATGCAGTAAAAATAAATAAGCCACATTTTAGGTTAAATTTGGCCTTTTCTCCTGTTCAGATAAATGGCAATTTCCTGACTCCAGTTGTTTCTCAAAACTGCCAGGATTCTGATGTGTCTTTATGAAACATTAGTAGTATGTTTTTCATTCATTCCACTTGAAAGTAGAGGAGATACAACTAGAGCTAAGCTCTTGGCGGAATTTTGTTGCATACTCCTTCATAAAGTCTAGTGGCTCAATATACCGTTGATTATGCAGACAAGAACCAGAGTTATCCATATTGCCAAACCTTTTCAAGAGCAAGTTATTTGTAACTTTCTACCGTTGAAAATGGAAAGCAAGGCTTCCACCCAAAAAAAATAGGCACACATGCTCATACACATGTCCACCTAAAACAGGGCAATGTTAATATGGATTTACATGCTACTGAAATTGAAGAATAAGTTTTCAATGTAGAATTAAGCTCCATCTTGTTTTCAAGAGTTCCCAAACTTCCTGAGCTGAGAACACAATTAAGAACCAAAGCTCCTATATCAACCTAGATGGATAGAAATAACACCACCTATGGACATAATGTAAGAAAATTTTCTGCCATGTGCGGAATATACATTGGAGAGAGAAAAACTAACTACTTTAATGCACGTCGGTTATTAAGTTGACAGGAACCAAATAAAAGAAAATAAAAGTATGCGTGATGTCAAAATCAAGATGAATCTATGAGTCACATAAAAAGTAATCTCAGAGGCATTCCACACTTTGACTTCATTTATATTAGATACTAAGCATTCAAAGACAGTACTTTTTAACATTTTAAAGAACATCTGCATATTAGCTCAGTCAAATATGAAACATAATTTTTAAAAGAGATGTTAAAACAATCATGAGGAAACTCCTTAATTTCCCTATTTATGGACCTTAAACTATTTATCCTACCTATGACCCTTCTTAGAATAAAATTTTCCTCACTTCATCAGTGCTGCCATTGACCACAAGATGCAATTTTAGGCTTGAATGTTGTAGCCACACCATGGCCGCTTTAAATTCTCTTTCAAAAAATTATGATTTATGATTTATAAAATCAACAGGCTTCTGGGAAACATTGTAACATATCTCAAAAAGAATCCAAAGCAATCATGCTCGGGCAACAACAATCGAGCCTCCAAAATACATCACAAGGCCATTGGTGTTATATGAAACTCGAAATACCACATGAAGACAAGCTATGAGAATACTAAATACAAATAGATGACTTAAAAAACCTTCGAATTTTCTGTAGCTGAGATATTAGTAACTCCATCTATGTTTTTGACAGGTTGTTATGAAAGCAACTAAAGATTTAAGTTTCATATTACTTTAAAAAAAAAAAAAAAAAAAAAAACACACTGCTCGAATTGAGACCGCTTACATCTGGTACGTCTTCGTCCATAATGCCTCTTGTGGGGAAGCATCTTTTTGACATTATGGTTCCAATGATGGTAGTCAAGAGCATGAATTATGCCCCACATGCAGCCTGGTTGATTATCCACAAATTCATCGCCATTGTTTTTGCTCCACAAGTGCTTTCCCATTTATACCACAAATCAATAATCCTTTATAACCCGATTAATTCCGGAATTCAACCGCTAACTTGTCCAACCTGATAAGGAATCATACACCAAATAACATGTGAATAAACTATTCCAATAGCCAAGCACAAACAATTCACATAGTAAACTTTAAAATCATCAACAACCCATGTGTTAGAAAGCTTGTTAAATCTCATTGAAAACAAAAATCAAATACCATGTGAGCAAGATACTAGAATCAACAAAATCCCAACTTGTCCAATACCCATGTCTATAAACTGTTAAACTTTGCAAACCCTTTTCATTAATTCCTTTTTTTATAGTAGACAATTGTTTGTAAAGTTCTATAAATAAACATAAACATGTTCTGATTAATTAATTTCAATATATGGTCGAAAACGAAATAACTAATCAGAAAGGCTCAAACAAACATATTCACCAAGTGTCAGCTCAGTAACAACACCCTTCAATTTGAGGATTAAAAACACACACACACAGAGAAAAACAGAGAGCTATCAAAGAATTACTCTGAATTGGTAATATGTTCATATACCAAAATCAACAAAAAGTGCAAAAACCAATACCAAAAACTATAAATTTTGCATTATACAATTTTAATATAAAAATAAAAGTAAGGAAATTTAGAACCTTTGAGTTGAGAATTGGGTGGTGAAGCGAAGGCCTGTGGAAGAGGTAGTTTTTGGCATGAGAAAGCTTGAGAGTTATGGAACAAGGTGGAAAGAGAAGACTGGGTCTCATTAATTTTGGGTTGAATATATAACTGAAAGTATTAATGGTACTTTTATGACTAATATTTATAACATATGGTCAAGTGGGAAAATTTAACGTGTACGATAACAAGAAGAAAGAAGAAGAAGAATGTCGTTGTCATCTATGTTCCTCTTTGAAGAAAGACTAGAACAAGCAGACGCCAAATATCTTACGCGCCTCTTTACCCGTCAACTACTTTCTCTATCTCTCTCTCTCTATATATATATATATTTATTTATATATATACACATTATTTGTGTGTTTGGAGGACTTGTTTGGGTGGTAGGCCAACAAATAAAGAGTCAATGGAGTAATTAAATGATGAGATTAGATTACCAAACAGTGTCAGACCAACTACCATTGGCTCAGTTGGTTTTAGTAGTGAGCTTTTAACAAAATAGTAGTAACAAATTAAGAAAATTATTATTATTTTTTTTTTCCCCTAAGAAAATTAATTTAGTCAACTCTAGTGGAATAGGATGCTAACCATGATGAGCATTTGATTTACACATATACTATCAAGATAGACAATGATATAGCTAAATATGGAGCCAAATATAGAGAAGCTATCCTATATATCTATATATATATATATGATAGTATATGTGCAAATCAAATGCTCATCATCGTTATATATATATATATATATATATATATTTGAAACGGTCACAACTATGTGTGTGAATTAACCTGCAAACTATCTACATTCAAATACCCAAATAAAGTAGGTAAAGTAGATGATGTTGTGTTTTAATGTAAGTTATAAATAATCTATTAGCCGTTTTTTAGAATTCATGGGGTGATCATAATATAAAAGTCAATTCATTTCATTTAGTCAACCAAAGCTGGGACCATGTAAGTGACACCTCCAAAGTACAGGTCCCCTCTTAATAGCAGTACCCGATATAACTACCACCAACAAGATGTGGCTTTAAACATCTAGAAATAATTACACTGATTTTCCTTAGTTTTGAAAAATTATATAACTACAACCAGCAAGGTGTGGCTTTGAAGATCTAGATAATATTACAATGATATTCCTTAGTTTTCAAAAATTATAGAAATCTTTCCTTAGTTTTCAAAAATTACATTGTCCTCCTTTGTTAGTGGGGTATCAAAACACCCGGTACCATCCTGTATCCTCCCCGCCTCACCTCGCGCCCGACCCGATCAGTGTACAGTGGTTATGCAAGATTGTTAAATGATTTTGGGCAGCGCCCGACCCGATCAGTGTACAGTGATTATGCAAGATTGTTAAATGATTTTGGGTAGGGAGGGGAGTTAGGATTGAAAATCCCCGTAGTTGCGGGACGGGAATGAAAAAGGTCACCCAACCCCTTAGGAACAGACCCATAAATTTGTGTGGGGGGGGCAAAAATGAGATTTTTTTTATAATTTTAGGGCAGAACATTAAATTTTCATAGGTATATAATTTAAAAAATGAAAAAATGGTGGTATATGATACTAAAAAAAAAATCAGTGAATACAAATAGAATATGTATCTGCCACTCCCATTCCACCCCATTTATGGTGATAATTTGTAATTTTGCTCTTAAAATTTTATTTTATACTATATATATATATAAAGCAAAACATTAAGTTATCCTATTCCAATGGCTAGATTTTCTTTTGTATTATTCATACTTGAGAAGTGAGAACCACTATGTATTTCTCTAAGAATTTGAAATTTCGTTTCATTATTTACATTGGTAATACAATTACAAAAGTAATTAATCCCCAAATCCATCCCGCCCTACTCCATTCCGTTTAATAAATAGTTTTGGTCAAGGGTAGGGGAATTATGCTAATAGGGAGTGGGAATGGGGTTGATATCCCTCACGCCAAACTTTTTCCGTTGCCATCCTTATCCGTTAACAAGATATAGGAAATTACTCTTTTGTCCTTATTATTCAATTTATGTTTAGGTACAAAATATTGATCACAGAATGTGTGAGAGTTGGCCTTAGAGCATGATGAAGAATTCTTCATGTAATGGAGTTTGTTATCTCAGAATATACATGCATACAGATAATTGAGGACATTTCGGTCCATGCATTTTCTGTAACTTATGATATAAATGTATATTCATAATATTTTCAATGGACAAACATGTCTTCACAAACATTTCAACGATCAAGTAGTCATCTAAAAGTTAATAAAGTGATGACATCTGTGTCATATTGTATTGTTATAAATGTGTTAATTAGAGGGGATGGGAGCAAAAATTTTAAAACTCAGGAGAAATTTTTATAATTTAGTATATTTGGTGAGAAGATTAGTGTGATTATTTCACATATCTATGGAACAATATCAAATTTTAATCCAATTTTTTCAATTAATTAACTTTTTATATTTTTTGGGATTAAAATCATAAAACTCCATAGTACTATAAAAACATGCATAAAACCCCAACACAATTTAAAAAAACACGGAACTAACAAAATGTATTCTATTGCCTCTATATCTATGCTCGACCTGTTGAATAAATTGTGAAATGATAAATTTGATCTTACTATTTAATGTTATTTGAAAAGTTAAAAATTATTATTTTAAAATTACAAAATTACCCTTTTCTCTCTAAAACAAAACCCATCAAACTCACCAAATTGCTTCAATCTCAGACAATCTTCAATAAATTACACTAGTCTTTCTCACTAAAACAAAACCCATCAAACTCACCAAATTGCTTCAATCTCAAACAATCTTCAATAAATTACACTAGTCTTACAAAACACAAGCTAACAAGCCGAGTACTTGGCTAAAAGTGAGCTTCGTGAATGTTGCAGACATGAGCTTCAGGAGGAGAGATCCGCCGGAGCAAATCGTATGACAGTATATGGACTGCCGGAGGTTCTTGAAGACCTGGCTCTATAAATCTTGATAGTGCTTCTTGTTACTTTCGAGCTCCAGAAGTGAGAGGATGAAGAACTTCGATATTGAGTCTAAGGGCGACTTGGGTAAGACTAACCCGTGCAAGTCGATTCCTGTTCAAAAATTTTTACTAGAGTGAGTAAAGTATTCGAGACCATGGAACTTGACTGGGTTTAAATTTTAGAGTCCCAATTTAAATATTAGGATGGTTTATAACTTTTATATTTAAAATTAGATTATTAATAGTATCATTAATCGTGTATTCTTCAGATGATATCATATTATTGTTATAAGATTTCATATTGTACAAGTGAGTGAACATAACGTTTTATTTGTTTTAATGTTTATTTGTTAGGAAGTTATTAAAATTTGGAATAATCTTATAAACTCGAAAAACTAATCAAATCCATACGATATGACACAGGATGAGACGTGATGAATTTCTTACAATTTAGGCTTCACACAAATTAAAGTGTTAAAACCTTGAATTTGGCGTAAGCTTACCTTTGACAGCCTAACCCGACCTATTCCCACCCAGTCTTCTCATCCTTCTTAGAATGCATGGTCTCGCAGAGCCTAGCATTATTTTTAATTCTTCATTTTTCCAATACCTTTATTTATAAGCTCAACACAGGGATAGAATTGTAATTGTCTTTCTTTTGATAAGTAACACATTTATTTGTGTGAATTATTAATTACAAAAATTCATTTAACTAACTCACTTTCAAGAGAAGTTGGACTATTTAAATAATTTAAGTTAATCAATTAAAGTAGTCTTAGACAAGTGAGTTTAAAATAGTTAAATAATTTAAGTTAATCAATTAGAGTAGTCTCTGACTAGTTGAATAATTTAAATTAACCCACAATTCATTCTGTGGTTGGTTAAGTTACTCATTGTACAGGCTCAATTGAGATCTTTTATTGATCAATTAAGGAATAATTTTACTTCTTAACCAATCGAACAGTGATTGAACCATACAATTTATAAGTTAGTAAAAATATGTATTTAGGGTAAATAAATGTATTTAGTTCCTATGAGTAGTAAGTAGATAATTGTTAGGATCAACAATAATTTTATGAGTATTACTTAGTGACATAATTGATAGATCGTTCAACTTTTCAAATAGGTATATCGGTCTTCTTGACTCGGTCAAATAAAAAAACATTAAAAAATAAAAAATAAAAAAAAAGGCCACCTTTTTCATCCTGTATACATGTGATTTTGAACTAGTCTATCACAAGCAGCATTTGCACTAAAGCTAGCACCAGTTGTAGTATTCAGCCGATGATTCAAAGGTCATGATATCAATTTTTTTTTTTTTTTTTTTTTTGTTTTTTTTTTTACTTAGCAATGGTTAGTGGGGTTAGGAGTTGGTACTTAGAGGGGGAAGGGGAGGAGTTAGTAGTTAGTAGGATGAATGACTCGAACACCGACACTCACACTAATCTGTGAGGTTCGCCCACCACCTGGACTACAAGGCACATCCTAATATCAATGAAAACACAAGTTTTAAACTTTTTTGTAAAGATAATTATAATTTATTAAAATCCCATATTACATGTTACTAATTATTCATACGAATAATATTATTATATATACCACTGATTTGGAAGATCAAGTCGTCCAATCCAAGTAATTAGTTTGATCAAGTTTGTGGAATTAATTAAATCAAGGATTAAGGTGGGATAAATTATGTGACAATGGGGCCAATATAATTTTGGCCTTCAAATAAAAACAGCTTGACTTTGGAAAATGACTTGAGATTTTGACTCCCTTCCATGTATGAAATCTGAGCCAATTCATTCGCATAATCGGGGTGTGATTTGGGCTACGCAGACTTTGACGCGTGTCAATTACCCTAATCCATTGAATTCAACAAGCCAAATGTCTTCTCTCTTTTACACCTTCAAATGGAGGGACCGTCGCATTAGTTCTAGAATAGCATTCCCAAATACTACAGTTATGTCAAAGTTTCTGAGTCAAATGCATGACAACCAATTACTTTAAACTTTAGACCACCACTTATTAGGTTCAAAAGACTACGACGATTGCACGGTTATACAAAGTCGACCTATCTCATTCAAAAAATGAAGTGTCATTGTTATTATTGTGATAAACAAAATTTTAATAAAGGTTATTTCGAATTCATATTCAACGTAAACATTCAATTATCTTGAAATAACGCATTGAAATCTTCAACCATTGCTCTGGCCAAGTCAATACACTTGTGTCGGTTGAGTTCTAAGTAATAGGCGTGATATTTTATTTTCGAGTAATGGTAAAAATGACGACATCCGACTAGTTCGGACTCCACTGTCTAACAAATCTATGGGGCTCACTGCAACAACTGTGGTAGGCCCCCAACAACTCTCAGACACCAGACAATCCGATGTCGCCAATTTTTTAGTTTCTCTTAATTTTGTTACACTAAAATTCTTGGATATGTTGCATGAGGGTAGAAGTTGAACAGCAAGTACCAAAAGAGAGATTGCCTAGATGTGATTATTGATTTAATGTGAATAAAAAGATTGGACCACCGAATTGGCTATTTGGGCCAAATTCAGGAGGAGCTGGTATTTAGGCTCAAAAGGGTGGTCCAGCCCAATATTTGATCCACCCATAATTTGTTTGTCCAAAAGTGTACACTCAGTACCCTTTTGGTCCACCCATATTTCATCTCTCTTCTTTTTGGTTTCTGGTTGTTTTGCTTTATTGGATCTGTATATATTCTATGTTTGTTTCCCTTATAATGCATGATCATCAGCTCCACCACTTTTTATTACTATATATTATCTTTTTTAATAAATTAATATTGTATATCTTACCCAAGTTATATTTATTTGAACTTTTTATTACAATTGATAAATAGTGATAAATTTGAACTTTCATATACATCTGTAAAAGAAGTATAGAGATGTTTAAGTTTCGAAGAACTCCAGATGATTTATTTCGATGCCTCGATCAGGAAGGTGTTGTTTTGAATCAAATGAAGATAAACGTGTGAACAATTTACAAGTATATGTAAATTATTTATATACGTGCGAACGAATTATACATGTGATCACTCATACATACATATATTGTAAATAGTTTAATAAAATGCAATACTTAAGATATCAAACAATACACGTACGCGTGTGATTCATGGCTCGCCGTATGGATCGGCGACTATTTTTTAAAAATTCTTTACTCGGATTTTATCCGAACTTATTACACCGCAATAAAATACAATACCTGTACTGTACTACAAGTCGGCTTTTTGGGTGAATGATAGTAGGTAGTAGGCGTGGCAGGGCGGAGCCAGAATTCAATAATTGGGAGCAAACTTACCATTAATATAAAATTATTTTAAGCCAACTATATATATATATATATATATAGAGAGAGAGAGAGAGAGAGAGTAGTGATTTCTTACGCACCTTTTATAGTGACCATTAGATTAAATCTAATAGTCACATTCTAAACCCACCTATATGCTTTCCTTTTAATACAAAACCATTATCACTGTTTAATATTTACCAATACCATTAATTATAACAATAAAAGGTAAGTAGTATTAAAAAAATAAAAATAGAAATCTTTTCACCTCTTGAAATCACGTCTCATCACTAATCGGAATTTTATTTTCTTTTTTAAAAAATTGTAAGTGTTATAGAATTGCATACATGACTTGATACTAAAGTTGGCATTGCGTATTTGTTTGAGTGATCAACTACAAAAATAATAAAAAAATTAAATATAAAATCTGGATTTTTTTATCCACTTGATTAACTTAAGGTAACATGTGATTTGCACAACACTTCACAATTTAAATTATTGTATACCTTCCTAAATGCATGCAATTTTAAATTTAGAAATTTAATCTATTGTTCTCTAACCCCTTTGTCACAAATTGTTTCATTTTTGTTGTTAATTTTGTTTTATTTTATTTTATTTTATTTTAATTTTGTTAATTGTTGTTAATTTTGTTTTATTTTATTTTATTTTATTTTAATTTTGTTAATTGTTGTTAATTTTGTTTTATTTTATTCCAGATTTTAACTAGTTATAAACACATTTCAATTACTCATATGTCAAAATAAGTCATACAAAATATTTTTCTAATTATACTATAATAACAAAAATTTATTTCTATAGTTATTATGGGGTGAGTTAGTGCTATTAAAACATTTTTTTTTTTTTTTTTTTTTTTTGGGTTGGGCTAAAATTACCTCTAGTAAAAATTAAATAAATTAAAAAATGAAAAAAAAAAATTGGGATGTCCATATTATCGATTATAGTTATACAAAAATTTATCAAACAACCTGTTATCCAATTTGTGCAAAAAAAAAAAAAAAAAAAAAAAAAAATGGACTATATCTAGTCGAAAATGACATAAATGGGTATATAAATTAACCAAAAAGACCAAATAACTACTGCAAAAGACCAAATAATTATCTTTGAAACAATAAAATTCATATATTATGGATTGGTAGCTTGGCCATTGTATAACCAATTAACCTGAAATTAATCAATCAATTAGTTATTTAAAGAAGTTTTTTTTATTTGATAACTTGACCATCGTATAACTAATTAACCTGAAATTAATTAATCAATTAGTTTTTTAAAAAAACTTTTTTTATTTTATCAAACTTCCATAACAAACACAAAAAAGACAATAAGATAGTTAAGTTAAAATTTAAAAAACTTTCAACTCTAAAGTAAAATGAATATATTATCTATTATTGCAATTGGGCTTAGTTTAATATAATATTGAAACGTTTACAAAAAATAAAAATAAAAAATCGTGTATTTTTAATAAAAAGTTAAAAAATATTTATAGAAACCATTTATAATTAGAAAATATTCTAAAGGGCTAAGTATGTATTTATCTGTATTATTTTTCATTTTAAGTTATACTAATAAAAGTTAATAAAAATTTGGGGAATGGTCCCTGCTGGCCTCCCTGCCTCCGCGGCTCCGCCCGGGCCCTGAGAGTGACAGCAACACAAAGGGGTGACAGAATAAATGCTTGTAGTATCGTAAGCTTGCTGCAGGTCCATGCTGTGACATGGATCATCATCATCATCATCATCATTTTGATGCGTACACGTGTCATCTTCCACTGTTTGGGGGTCATATTAGTCGCCCACCAACGGTGCGTTTTGTCGCCGTTAAGGTCCGTCATTTTAAATACGTTTGTACAAAATCAGGTCCCACATCTCTCTCTCTCTCTCTCTCTCTCTCACACACACACACACACACAATGCAAATAACAAAACTATAGCCTCTGGAGTGTCACACTGCCAAGTTCTTTGATGACAGCATATACCCTTGTATGCATACGTGGTCACATCTTCATCCTATATTTACGGGAGATAAAGTTCAGTCACAAAAGCTACTTTCAACCTTCAAACCTTTTTTTTAACCGCCAACGGTTATGACTTATAACTTATAATTAAATAAATATATTACAGCATAAAAGGAATTTTAGGAGTCTAGTTAGAATAAAAGGAATTTTATATATATATAAAGAAACATTTGAATATTTTTAATGACTTCGGAATTACTAAGTTTGAATCTCCTTCTCACTAATTTTACCAATTATTAATTCGGGTCAAAAAATAATAATAATAAAAACATAACTTTTACTTTCTTGTAATTAACTATGTTTTGAGTCCCCTTAATAGCTCATTAAATGGTAATTTCCTAAGTAGATTACTACATAATCTCACTATCAACCCACACTCTTTGCCCTCAGATCTGACACTCATGATAGACTTACCTTTTTTTCTTTTTCTTTTTAAGTGTTTCCCAAACTACCCATTTATTTTATAATTATCTGGGATTTAATTACTTATTTAAACTTGTTATAGATATGATTAGCTAAAGTCAATTGAATCATGTAACACTTGAACTCCTCTTTTCTTCCTATTTACGTAATCTTTACACAGTTAAAGCATTGACAATATTGTGGGTGATACATTTGTTTCAACTTTAAAACACACACACACACACCCACATATACACACACACACACACACACACACCCACGAATACTCCATATTATTATAATCTTTTAACCTGAATAGTATATGTTTCCATGCTTTAAAACAAAACAGTGATTAACAAATTTGAAGTGCAGGAAACTTCCCTTGGATACTAGGGATTTTGTTCAATATCAATAATAAAAAAATTAAATATTAAATATGTATACACATTGAAAGAATCAGATGCTCTTCTTTGACATTTAAAACACCATGTAGTATGATGCCTTCATCATAAATATGTTACACTATTATTACATAAATGTCGTACTTTTCGATATAGTGTTCTATTATCATGGTAAGATTATATACATTTATTCTCGAAGGACAACAATAAAATTACACTATTGTAACTTTGTCACTAATTCATCGCATAAACAAATAAGATTACGTATCAACATAAACCTTGCATGAAAAGAAAAAATTACGTGGATCATTAAAATTTGTCACTTGAGTTTTGTTACAATTTTTTTGTTACATTTGGACACAGAATGACCACAAGATTTTGTAAACGGAAAGAGATCCAATTCAAACCCTTTGTGACTTTATTTAATCATTTTATCCACAGTGGAAGTAACCCTATTTTAATCATTGAACTCTGCTACTTCTGTTTTTCCACTGTGCTTGGGCTCACAAAAAAGGACATGAATAAAAATACAGTAATTTAATCATTAAAACTCATAAGGTTGAGTGGTCCAAGTGGATCAAAATAAAGACTTATATATAAATAAATAAAAAAAGACTTATATATATATATATTCAATCAAGATAATATTGTAATATACATCGCCATCATACACCATTATCACACCATTCCCTCACACACAGAATCCCACCCCAATCCCTTCTGTCACTCACTTACCCACACTCACTCCTTACCCTCGACTCTCTGCTTCAATCTTCAGACCAAAAATGGCTACCTTCTCCATTTCCCATTTTACCCCTATCACATTCATCTATTTCCTTCTCTTCTCCTCCAGCTCCACCCCCATTTTGGCTCTCAACATCACCAATCTACTATCTTCATACCCTGATCTCTCCGACTTTTCTGACCTCCTCACCTCCACCTACGTCGCCGCCGATCTGACCCACCGCTCCTCCCTCACCCTCCTCGTCGTCCCAAACTCCTTCCTCCGCTCCTCCGATCTGACCCACCACTCCCCCTCCAACCTCGCCGACGTCATCCGCTACCACGTCCTCCTCGAGTACATATCCTGGTCCGACCTCCGTAAGATTCCGTCCGCCGGTGAACTCGTCACCACCCTCTACCAGACCACCGGCCGCGCCACCAGCAACTTCGGCTCCGTCAACATCACCCGCATCCCGGGGAGCGACGCCGTCTCCGTCCGCTCCCCCGCTGCGTACTCCCCCTCCAACGCCACCATTCTCTCTCTCGTCAAGACGCTTCCCTACAACGTCAGCATCTTCACCGTCAATTCCCTCATTGTCCCATACGGGTCCGATCTCATGGCCTCCGAAAGTCGACCCCCATTGGGTCTCAACATCACCAAAGCCCTCATCGACGGCCACAACTTCAACGTCGCCGCGTCGATGCTGGCGGCCTCGGGTGTCGTCGAGGAATTCGAAGCCCGTGAAGGCGGTGCCGGAATTACCCTTTTCGTCCCCACCGACGAAGCGTTCTCGGATCTTCCGGCGACTGCCAAGTTTCAATCTTTGCCGGCGGACAAGAAAGCGGTGGTGTTGAAGTTTCATGTCTTGCCTTCGTACTATCCGCTTGGATCTCTGGAGTCAATCGTGAACCCGATTCAGCCGACGCTGGGGACTGAGGCGATGGGTGCCGGAAGCTACACTCTGAACATATCGAGGGTTAATGGGTCGGTGGCGATCGACACCGGGATCGTTCAGGCGTCAGTGACGCAGACGGTGTTTGATCAGAACCCAGTTGCGATTTTCGGGGTTTCAAGGGTCTTGTTGCCGAGAGAGATCTTTGGGAAGATCCCAGTGGTGTCGACGAAGCCTAGTGATGGCGGTACAGGTGGTGCTCCGCCGCCGGAAGTCGCTTTGTCGCCGGAATCTTATGGTCCACCGAGTCATTTGTCATCCCCGCCGGGTTTTCGCCAGGATATCCGATCTGAAGCGGCCAAAAATGGCGTTCAGAGCTCGATTATGGCTCTCTGTTGTATAGGATTGTATCTATTGGTATGAAAATTCATTATCTTCCCCATAATTATTTATTTTTTTTTGAGGGTTTTCCCCATTTTTCATACGGGTAATTGAATTAGGCTACAAAAGTAGCCATTTTTTTTTTTTTTTTTTTTAATTTATTATCTAATGCGTCTTTGGTTGGGAGATATTAATCGTGTTTCAAGTTGAAATAATTTAGATGTAAAAGCAGCATTTTTGTTTCTGGATATCCAATTTGTTGTTGTAAACAGCTTGAATTTTTTGAATCCTACTATCAATTCTCAAGTTCAAACTTTCTGATCTCTTTGGATCTCTCTTTCCTTTTCATTTTTACTTTCTGCAATTCTACATTTTCAATTCAAAATTAAAAAATATGCAGATATCTCGAAATTGGGTTTGTAAAATTGAGTGAAAACAATCGAATTCAAAGACCCACTTTTTTATTTTCTGTCATAAAAGTGGTAAGAGATTAGATTCTTTAACCTTCAATTACCCATCCCTATAAGCTTTCAGAAACAAAAAATCTTCCGTCAATTGCTTTCTCTCTTTCCCTTTTTTTTTTTCTAAAAATAAAAAAATTCTTTTACCACTTTAAATTTGTCTTTCATTTTCTCTGCTATAGTGCGCAGTTGCAGTCTGAAACTTTTTGCTAAAGTGGCACCACATCACCTGAGGTGTGTACCATTATTACCGGCGGAGAGGAAAGGAATCGATTTGTTGGAGGTCATTTTCAGGAATGTGATGGGCATTTTCGTCAAATCAAAAGAAGTACGAGTACTACGAAATGCGCACACACATACACAGCGAATCCAGTTTGGATACTAATGGCACTTCGGTAGATTTAATTTGGCGGTACTACGGTACGTAAATTAGTGGCGAAAGTGGTTGACAGAGGGAAAGTTGAGTGGTCCCACAAATGGACGGTCTGATCTGGGCTGATTCCGAAAGCTGATGTCCCCCGCATGTGCCTGCCGTTGGATGGTGATTGGGAAGGCAGTGTACGGCCAGATCTGGATTCTCTCATTGGGAAGTGTAGTAGTGTACACTACAGTGTATGTGCTCAGATAGTAACGTATGATGGACCCATTTTAGTACTAGTATGTGATTGTCTTCGCGCAATTGGGTGCTGATAAAGTGCAACACGAAAGCCTGAAGATCCGATAGTCGTCCGACACAGAGAGACGTAGATTTCGGTGACTAGGAGAGGTGAGTGTTTTGATGGGCCGGTTCATTATTTAGTCCTAAGACAGGCTTGCATTGCATGGTTGCTAGATAGCTAATATGGGCCACTCTCATTCATTTCCTAACTTCATGTTCCATTTATTTCGTTGAGTGGTTGATGTAATAAAGTAGTAGTAGCACCGAACTGGTTCTTTCAATTTGAAATCTTTAACTAATTTTTTTTTAATTTTAAATTTAAGTCGCTGATTTCGTACTCTCAAAATATTTTTATATTTATATTAGGTGGTAAAAATTGTTTTTATAAGTGGAACCCATAGAGTACGGTGGGGCAGTGCTAGTGGATAAGGTGTCTCTTGCGATAACTCTCAGTAAATTTTGGTGTTGGTGTTCTGATTGTGTGATTTGTGAGTGATTGTACAATTTAAAATTTATTTTGCAATCTGTGTACTAAAAGATTAGCTGGTTGAAAGGGTTCCGTTTCACACGAACCCAGAAAACAAAATCCTCATAATTCAGCTCGGACTAATTAGAAATTATTAGATGTTGGTTCATTTGACATTTGGTGGACTAATCCAATAAAAATTAATGTTAATAGTATTTTTAATATATTAATACACTCTTGTGAGACTATTTTCTCAATTCAAGAGTTTAGATTTAACTGACCCATTAGGTATTAATGGATTAGGACCATCTCCGGACCAATCCTTACTTTTTTTGAGGTTCGGAACCTACTTCTACTCTCTTGGGAGCGAATTCAAGGCCTGGTATTGATTTGTTAAGTTGGATAACTGGGCTTCTGGTCCATTCATTCTAAAAGCCATAAGATAAACACGACTCTAATTGGGCTAACCCAGCCTACATATATATGGTCTAGTTTTTTATATCTGAACTATAGCCCTTTCGGATCTTTAGCTCGGCCCGTACTTTATTCGGGTCTTTGCTGCCAGCCCACGTGAAGGTATTGGTTCCCATCCATGATTCCTTCTATTTCTCCGTCAATTGTTGTTGATATATTTGTCTTTTTCCTACTTTTCTTCTTTCAACGATAATCCAATTGTTTGATTTTTATATTTGGCATAGAATGGTATTAATCAAACTAGGTATTGTTACTAAACGCATTTTGAATATCATTTTTAAAAATATATTTTAACTAACACTGACTTCAATTTAGAAGCCATTTTAAAAAAAAAAAAATTTATAATATTTATTAATAATTTTAAATTTTTTTTTTTTTTAAGATGAATTGTGCGCGATGGACAAGTTTGGTTCATGTTCTTAGTCATATAATTCTTCTAAATTTGTGTTTCACTCTCGTTCTCACTTTGTATGATTTGGTACTGAGAAGCCTTTATGCACTAGAGGAGGCTCAAAGTCAAACTACTCTGGAATGCAGTTTGTTATCCTTAATAGTATCAGAATCTTAATCTGAATGTGGATGTGGATGGGGGAGATTTTGGTTGGTTTAAATCAGCTTTAAAATTTGTGGAACAATGTGAATGTTTTTATTAACATTGGTTGACTATAATAGGTCTAGCTTTTTGGGTGTCTAAATTAATAAACAACTCTATCAACAAGGTGCACTTAACAAGAAGTTTCGTGGAGTCTCTCCTCACCTAATACCATATTATATCATGATTAGCACAATAGACTGAATAAATGATAGTACTACCAACATTAAATTTTCTTGTACATGATAAATCCAATGTGGGGTCACACTAGCTTAGGTTGCATTTTACCCAAATTTGGAGAAAGTGCCAGTTGAATTTCTACTATTAAAACTTGACCTTCTACGTTATAAATTATTACTTTTTTCGTCTGAAATTAAGTATTTATTTTGAAATTTGTAAGAAACATATAATTTGTAGATGCCTTGATAGCCCAGTAATTAATGTATTCGGTGGATTTTGGGAATGTCAGACTTCGACTCTTTGCACCTATTAATCTAACTTCTAACTCTTCTCACCTTGTAAAAAAAAAAATTTATTTAAATTTTTAAAATGAGACAAGTATTTTAAGATTAAAAAAAAAAATGAAGAAGTAAAGAACAATTGACAACTTATTTTAAGTGGGAAGGGAGTATGAGTTGGCAAGATTCAGTGCGCTGGATCTGTCTCTCCACGTGTAGCCTTGGATTTATGGTTAATTGGTACTTGCAAGGGTGGTCCTAATTTGGACATATATTTAAAGGGCATTCATGATTGTATGCAATAACTCCGTTGGATTTTTATCAACACTCTGTTGGTACTCTCTCTCTCTCTCTCTCTCTCTCTCACTATATTTTTATCTTTGTAACTATTATATTAAATTAAAAGTCTGACTTTTATTGTCTTCCGGCTCATGGTTAAATCGTTCACTGAGGAGGCTTTCTTAAAATATACTATCTCTATTATAAAATAAATATCTTTTTTTGAAAAATTGTGACTCTTATATTTGATTGGTGGAAAGAATTAAAGAAGGATGAATAAATATTTTTGTATTTGGTCAGAGGAAAAGAAAAAGAGAGAAAGTAAACAAGGAGGGGTGAAGCATTCCTCATTTCTTTAAGTTTTTATATCCGCCTACTTTTGGAGAAAAGAGAGAAGAGAAAAAGGCATAACTATCTGTAAATTTATAATTTACAATTTTAACCTTTTCAAAAATTTTGAAATAAATATCTACCTTTTATAATTTTATATAAAAGGGTGTATTGGTAAAAATAATATAAGAACCGTCATTCTTTTCCTTCTAACCAAATAAGAAAAAAGTATCACGGCATTTATCTTTTCTATTATCAATTTTATTCAACCAAACATAAAATGGGAAAGATACCATCCCTTCCCTATGGATATCTCATCCATCCCTTTCTCTATCTCTTACATCCATTTTTTCATCCTTCCAACCAAACGAAGCAGTTGGGATAGAGGAGGTATTTTGTTAAAAGGAATTTAGGAGAAAAATATATTTGACAAGTATATTTCTTAAATTTACTTAAATTTTTAGATTTTTTAATTTTTTTTTACAATAATATTTCTTATCTTGACAATTATTGCAAACCTCCAACAAAAAATGCAGAGGTGGCAGTGGTGGAAGGTGGTGGTGGTGAATTGAAATGGTGGTGGTAGAAAGGCGATTGCGATGGCGGTGGCGGTTAGGGCTGCATCTTGGGCGGGCTAACCCAGCCCAACCCAACCCAAATTTTTTGAAATTTGGACTTAAAATTCACAAATCGGGTTCATGTTTGGGTTGAGTTTTGTCAAAACCCAGACATGTTCTGGTTGGGCTTGGGCTCAACATGAACCCAACCCGAAGCCCATAATAAAAAATTAAAAAAAAAATTTATTTTTTTTCTCCTTCCTCTCTCATCTCTCTTTTTCTCTCTATCTCTCTACCGCCGTCTTTTCTACTGCCACTGCCACTGTCGCCACCTTTGTCCCTCGCCCTCAGCCGCCGCCACCGTCCCTCGCCCTCAGCTACCGCCGCCCCCGTCGTCCCTCCGCTTTTGCCGCCGCCGCTGTTACTTCCAAAAATTAAAACGACCCATACATACAAATTAGTAGTTGTAGAGAGAGAGGGGGGGCAAGCTTGAGAGTTGAGAGACAACGGCTGAAGCTTACGAACAGTGAACCCGAACTGGAACAGCAGGCGATGGAAACTGAAGGATATGGGTTTTGATTTTTTGAACATTCTGAAATGATATGCCAATATGGGTTTTGATATAAGTAATAGGTTTTGAACTTTTGATTCTTGTAGACAGATAGATAAACTGAAATATATGGGTTTTGAACTTCGGATTCTTGTAGATTTTGTAGTTTGCAATTGCAGAGAGAGAGTTGAGAATGAGACCAAGAGATGGAGGCGATTGGGGAGGCTGAAATGATTTGGCCTAAAAATATTTTGTTTTTTAATAATAATATAATCAAATATATATATATATATATATATATATATATATTTCTGAATTTTTTTTTTTAAATAAAAAAACTCAAACCCGTCAACTCGTCTTGACCAGCCTGAAAATATTCGGGTTGGGTTTTGACCATAACCCATGTTGGGTACAATTCAGTTTGGCCAACACAACCCGATTCGGGTTGAGGTTGGATTCTTAGCTCAACTTACAGCCCTAATGGTGGTCAAGGGTGGTAGGGGTGGCGGTGGTAGAAGGTGGTAATGACAATGGTGATGGCGGCGACGGCAATGGAGTGCGGTGGTGACAATGGTAGAATTTGGTGGTTGTGATGGAAGGTAGTGGCAGTGAATAATGGAGGTTACAATGGTGGAACATGGTGATGGCAATGGTGGTGGTAGTAGAATAATGCAATGGCATTAGTGGTGGAAGGTAGTGGCGGTGGTGGCGATTGTGGAATGCGGCGATGGCGATGGTTGTAGTGGTGGAATGTGGCAATGTCGATGGTGGCGGCAGCAGTATAAGGTGGCAATATGGAGTGCGGTGGTAACAGTGGTAGAAGGTGGTGACAGTTGAGGTGGTGGGTGGTGGCGGCAATGGTGGAATATAGTGATGGTAATGACAATGTGGGGTAGAGAAAGGTCATTGTGGCAGCGATCGATGGCCATGATGGAAGGTAGCGGCAACAGCGGTAAAAGGTGGTGATGGAAGATGGCAACGACGGTGGCGGAACGAAGGATTAAGAGAGAATATAGGACAATCTTGTTAGCAAATTTATCTTTTAAAAATATTGGTTTCTTAAAATGAGGTTTCAAAACAATATTTTCTTACTTTGCTATAATAGGTTTTCTATCATTGGTTTTTCGAGAAAGTTTTTTTAACATATGTGTAATCAAACGTTATTATTATTTTTTTTCCAAATGAATTTTTCAAACTTGAAAGGATTTTTTGAGGCTTTAGGAAGCTCTTAATATATATAACCTAACAATATGGAGGAACTTATAACCGAAAAATTTAGGATTAAATAATTTTTAAAAAGTAAGAGCATCTCCAACAGTTGTGTATATTTTTTTATGTAAATCTGATGTGTCATGATGAATTTACACAAAAATTTTAGATTATTTAATTTTAACTCTAATGGTTGTTTTATACCTTTTGTGCAAAAATATATCTCTCAATAACAATCAACAATGTGTCATACCAGGACCCACATAACTTTTACAAACCTACTTAATATATGGTTGATTTTTTAATGGAACGAGAAAGAGGGATGAGAAAGGAAGTATGTTGATCTGGTAGTGTAAAATAGACAACCTTTTTACACATTGGTGATATAGTAATGTATCTTAACAGA